AGAAATGGCTGCAGTATAGAGTATTTTCTCCACAGTGAAATTTGTTAATTAATTAGCTCTCATATGCTTTGTGAGGATAAAGGACAGTGTACATGTAGTATATATGATAAGAATATCTACAGGATTCTCACTACATTTTGTTTATCTTGATTACTGATTTTGGAAATATGAGTGAGAGCAAAAAGCTAACAGTGGTGTTAACCTTACAATGCTAGTTTAATAAAGATAGAATATATAAAATAAAATCTAAAGAAGGCACAAGATAATGAACATAATGAATGTATCCCATGGAAATACGGATAATTCCAGATGGGTAAATTTATGTGGATGATGCATATCTAGTAGAATGATATCCTAAGCTCTTAGTGTGTGGGAAAAGTGCAGCAAAAGGAACTTTATCTGTGCTTTTGCACAGGTAAAAACATTTACAGAGGTTCAATCAATTAAAAATTATCATAAGATATATTTAAACTTTTTAAAAAAATTTTTCACTGAAGCAATTTATGTGACTGAGATTATACAGGGAGGCAAGACTCAAAATATTTAACTAAATGTTGAAAGGTAAAAATAAATTTGAAGGGGCCAGGGATTTAGCTCAGTAGTTCCACCACCTGCAAGTTCAAACACCAGTACCAAAATAAATAAATAAATAAACAAATAAATAAATAAATAAATTTGAAGGACACATACTATTTGACCTTAGGAATTACCTTAAAGTTCTAGTAATTAAGAGAGATGATGGATGGAAAAGAATAGATAAGTAGGTCATTAGAAAGAATAGGGAACCCAGAAATGGAATCATATAAGTAGAGTAAATCAATATTTGATTAAAAAAAAAAAACTGTGCACATACAATAGAGAAAATAGAGAAAATCTATTTTTTCCAGATATATGCTTGACTAATTGGACATAAAAATACACAAGAATGTAGACGCTGAAATTAAACTTTTTAACAAAAATCATACCAAAATATATCACATATCTAAGTGTAAAACTGTAAAGTGCTAAAATAACTGAGAACTATAAGGGAAAATCTAGATGATGTAGAGTTTGAAGATAACATTTTAGATATAGCATCAAAGGAACAATCTTAAAGAAATAATTTATAAGACAAATTTTTATTGAAAATTCAAAATTTTGCACTGCAAAGTAAACTATCAAAGAAATAAAAAGGAAAAACATAGACTCAAAGAAAATATATACAAAATACATACTTGAAAAAGAATTGTTAACGAAAATATGCAAAGAACAAGCCAGTCATATTAGTTTAGGATTGTAATCTCAGTGTTCAGAAAAGTTGTGGCAAAAGGATAGGAAGTTCCAACCCAGCAGAGGCAATTTAGTGACTTAGCAAAAATATTGGTTGCAGATTTATCTGAGTGTACAGTCATGGGTTCATTTTCCAGTAAAACTGCCCCCACCCCTCTCTCTGTCTCGCTAAACATCAATTAAAAATGAGCAAAATACTTTAACAGACACCATCAAATAAAATATACAGATGGCAATGAAACATATGCAAAAGATGTTTTGCAATACATGTCATCAGGGAAATGCATATTAAAATAACAACAAAGATACCACTACATATATATTAGAGTGGACGATATTTTTAAAAATGGCAGCACCAAATATTGCTAAGAATAGGTTGTAACAAAACCTCTCAATTATTTCCGGTAGTTACACAATAACATAGAGAAATTTTGGAAAATAGTTTTGGTAGATATTTTTATTATTTATTTATTTACTTATTTGGTACCGGGGATTGAACTCAGGACCTTGCACTTGTGAGGCAACTGCTGTGCCACTGAGCTAAACCCTGGGACCACTGGTAGATATTTTTAGAAACAAAGCATATTCTTATTATAGGATCCACTGATCTTGTTATTTAACAAAAGGAGCTGAAAAGTTTTGTTTACTCCAAATTTTGCACATAGATGTTGATTGCAGATTTATATTGATAATTGCCAAAACTTTGAAGCAAGAAGATGTTCATCAACAGGTGATGTAATAAATAAACTGTGGTGTATCAATGAATAATTATTCAGCACTTACAGGAAATAATTTAAAAAACCAAAGAAAGACATGGAGAAAATTTAAATATATGTTACTACCTGAAAAGAAACCAGTCTCAAAAAGTTTTATACTGTATGATTCAAAGTAGAGTATATAGAAGCATGAACAAAGTAAAATTATGACAGTAAGATATTAGTGGTTTTCAAGAGCTGTGGAATAGTGAGGAAAATGTGGTGTACCCAAATTTCTAGGGCAATAAAAATACTCTCTATGACCCTGGGAGACTGAGCAAACAGAATCTTAAATTCAATCCTAGACTGTGAAACAGTGATTTAGTGAGACCCTACCTCAAAATAAAATTTAAAAAGGGTTAAGGGTGAAGCTTAGTGTGAAGGCATGGGTTCAAACCTCACTACAAAATACCATGCCAAACCAAAACAGAAACAACTGTTTGTATTATGATGGTAGCTACTTGTTAGAAATTTGTCCAAAACCACAAAGTGTACAACACCAAAAGTGGACTATAATTTAAACTATTTGTTTTAAGTAATAACAGATATGTCTCTGTAGATTCATGAGTTGTAATAAATATATCAGGCTGGTGAGGGATGATAATAAGAGCAGGGATTATGCAATAGTGTGGCAGGGGGATAAGGAAAATCTCATAAACATTTTAATCAGTTTTGCTGTGAATTTAAAACTTCTCTGAAAATTAAATTCATTTAAAATAAATATCCTATATTTGTTAAAACCCACCATGTCAAGTCACTATTAAGGTTACTAAAGAACCCAGAGATAAACTGTACCTTGAAGGTGTCAGAAACGAAAAACAATGTAACAAAAGAATATGTAAGGTCACATTTCAAGGGTATTATTAGGTTTTTTAACTGCTTGACTAAACTTAGAAATACAATGCACATGCATGCAGCAACTTGGAATACACTAAAAATCAATTACTGGGCCCTAATAGTAAATAAGGAGTAATACATGTAAGTATAGAAATTAATATTCTTAAAATTATTAGTTTATAAGTATTATGTACACAGTCTATATAACCACTTCAATTTTTATTAATTAAAATAATCTCTATTAAAACTTAATTTTGAAATTAGTATAATCAATTGTTAAATTCATGAAGAGTAGGAGACCATTTGATTGTTTATATATCTCTAAATAGAAGAATGTTATATATTGTCCATATTTTTTCAATTTAATGATTCTACAATTAGAGTCTGTAATGGTTTCTGTCTAGATGCCCCCCTTCCAAAGACTCATGCATTCACTGGCGGAGCTTTTTAGAGGTGGCTAGATCTACAGTGTGTGACACTAGGATTAAGCTAAGATCAGGGGTGAATAATTAATAAATTAGTCTACTAATTAGTTTGGAATAGTTCTAGTAGTGGATAATGGACAGAATATGAAGGACAGAAAGAGGGCTGCTGTAGTTGCTTGTGGCTTGTGGTTTGCTTCTTGCTGCTTGGGTGATTTTGCTCCCTTCTGCCTTCCATGAACTATTTCTCCTCTGTGATGCCCCGTTGCCACGGCACTCTGACTTGGAGCCAGCTGATTATGGACTGAAACCTCCACAAACTGTGAGCTACAATAAACCTTTCCTCCTTTAACTTTGGGTGTCAGGTATTTTGGTGAACTTTTTTTTTTTTTTTTTGTACAGGTGATTGAACTCGGGACCTTGCACTTGCAAGGCAGGTGGCAGAAACACTGAGCTAACTCCCCAGCCCTAGGTATTTTGTCTCAGCAATGAGAAAAATAACTAAGACAGAATCTAAAATGTTTTTAAGTATTCATTTTGTGCTGGTTAGAACAATGTAATAGGAATAAACAAATTTTGCCTTTGAAGAAGTTAAAAGATAGGAAAAGCAATGGCATATCCCTCCCTCTGCTAGTTTGCAACTTATCTTTAAAGATGTAGGGAGGATAAACAACACAATGTAGTTTTTATTTAATTATTGACTGTGGGATTCTGATAGCATGTACTGATATAGGTCTTGTACAACTGCTAACTCAATGAATCAATGGAACACATTATGGCTGAAGGTAGAAATGTGTTTGTAATATTTACTATTTTACTTACACTGAATATTTCTCTATATCAGCAGCAGTGTTTTCAGAGATATCTGAATATGAGATCATTTATATTACAGAAAAAAAGGAAGAATTGCAGTCCCTATTCCATACCGACTTTAACATCTGGATAATGATTGTCTCAACTCTTTGTTCCTTGAAATATTTGTACTTATGCATTTATTTGCATTAACCTTTACCCTCTAATGTCCTCTTACAGACTAATTATGTGAATTTTATGCAGTATTTATGAGCTAGAATTCAATTTAGTACTAGTGAAAATCATGTTATTTCTATATCCTGACCAGTCAGCTACTTCTTAAGCTCTACAATTGCTTTTTTAAAAATTTTAAATTGTAATTCAGATTTTAGTTTTAAACAAATGCCTTCACAAATAATCCTGAAAACTAGTTTTCAGAAATTACTAAAACTTAGTCATCAAATTTGATAGAAATATGGGCATTATTTCAGTCTAAATCTTATATTCTCATACATAACCAATCTGGATCCAAACACTATTATTTCTCTCAATAAACTCAATATTTTTGAATGATTGTTTAAGCCAACCAAAAGTAATACAAAAAATCATAATTCATACTTGCTAGAGATTTCTTCTGGAAATTCCACTAATCTAACTGAGGAGAGAGAATCTTTCCTGGAAACATTTCGGAGTTACATTTCCAGGGCCTGAATTGTTAGGAACTTTTATGTCTCAAGGTATGGGTTAACTCTATGTACACTAGCCTAACAGTCCTGCTCCTATTCCCCAGACTATAACAAAAGAGAAGAAAATTCTTCTTCAACCAGAAAATTAAAATTACTTTTTATTTTTCCCCAGATCCTGTCAGAACATCTTTTATTAAGGAACAATCTTTTAAAGCCAATACTGCTTCAAATGAACTTACCTTCAGCTCCTCCAAGCAGAATATTCTACCTCTCAGACTGGCTTCTCAGCTGGATCTGACCTTGGCTTTCTGATTTCAACTGTCACTGATAAAAACAGTGAATTTTTAGTAACTATGTATGCTGACTTCTGGTACCCATCTTGGCACAGTTTACAACCTACAGCTGATATGTATTGCCTCTGGCTATGCTGTATCTCAGACCAATTCCGTGACAAGCACCCTGCTTCCTATTAGACCTTACTACAATGCCAGTGCTTATTTTTAGCAGACACCTTGTGTTCTTTACATACAGATTACCTACAGACTGTTTTTTCATCTTGTCCTTTTGCAACTGATACCATCAGTTAAGAGAAAGACAAACAGTAAAAATTGAAGTAAGAGTTTTCATGAGGTTCTCTGAACTCATCAATCCTAATCTGATGGAAGCTGAATCTATTGACCTTCAAGTGTATAACACGTGTTTTTGGTCTCTTTTTCTTAAAACTAAATCTACCAATAGTTTATAAATCTGTAGTGCTTTAACATTATATTATTTTAACTGACTAGTTAAAATCTCTGATTACTTTAAGAATATTCATTTAATAATTTTCACAAATGGCTTATAATCTTACTATGAAAATTATATTTCCACTTTCAAGAAGAGATTGTACTTTGAGAAAATATTTCAGTAAAATAGCATAATAATGTTATCTTATCCCAAGATTGCCAAACTCACATTTACATTTTTTGTAAACTTTTGAAAGACTATTAGAAAGATTTTGAAAGATTATGTGACTAAATGCTCCCACAAGTTTACCTTGCTAAGGACATTTTAGGCAGAAATTTCATCTTCAATGTCCTACACTCCCTTTAAAATTACAAGCTTTTAAAAATTTTATTTTCATCTCTTGGTAGAAAGGAAAACCAATTAAATACATTTCATTGAATAAGTAGTGTGTGTGTAGGTGTGGTTAAAATATATTCTTCACTTTGGAGTGACATGCTAAAATAATGTTTATATGAAAATGAAATAATAAAGCTTTTAGTTCTATATTTCTAAATTTTAAAAGTCACTAGAATTATACTTTAATAATTCCTAAAGCAACACAATTTATTGAATCAAAAATATTTATTTTTAAATAATAACTTAGGCTAATATTTTAGTACTTTCTCTCCATGAGTTCTTGAATTAAAAATTTTTATATTTCTTTATCAAAGAGCTTAAATCAAATAAGTGAAAAGTTTTAGAAAATCAAGCAATCAATGAGTAACCTTCACCAAATAGGAAGAATTGAGAAACAAAGTTTAATTGCATGCTGTCTCAATCTTGAAAAATTAGTAAACACTGAGAGATCAAGTAGTTTTCCTTTATCCACTTGTTTAGAATCAAATGGGAACCCAACCGTTTGTATTGTGATTGCTGAGATAGTGTTAATTTTATCTTCTCTATTCATTCACATATAAGTAGGCAGTAATAGTGTGGCAAAGGCGGCAAGGTTATTTTGTTTTGCTTTTTTTTCTTTATGCAGCAAGTGTCTTTATTGCCACTAAATGTATGTTTTTTTATCTTTTTACTTCCACAGACTAAACACTATTCACATTAAGTTTATATAGATTTTTCTTTTGCTTGGTGACTCTGTGTAAGCAGAATGTGACTTCTTGAGGATGCCTGGCCATTATGCTTTACTTAGGGGCAGGAAAGTATTCAGTATAGTGATTGAAGAAAATTCTTCATTCTTTTACCTATAGGAAAAGGAAAGAACTGTTCTTTAGAAAAGAAAATGAAATGTCTGTTTTTTAAGCAATGGTTTAATGAACAATTTTACCTTACCATCTTTTGAACTGTAATAGCTATATTTGCTTAGTATTTTATATGTGTTTTTATTACTTCATATTATACATTCCTCTACTTGATACTCTTAACATTTTCCTGGAAGTTTAGATAAGGAAACTGCAGCACAGACAGAGTTAATGTGTAGTTAGTACTCCCATCAGTGAGATATTCGTGAGACATATCCAAGGTCAGATTGTTAACACTGTGCCTGGCATCAAAAAGAGACAGAATTCATGTTTAGTAATATTCCTCACATTTGATGTTAAGCTTTTTTTAGAAATAAAATCTCTTTATTTTTATAATGTTTTTCAGTACTGCACTATGCTATTTCTAATTTCTTTATCCCACCAAAAAAAACTGCTGTGATACTCTAATTTAACAAAGAAAAAGAAAAGGACACAATTAACATATCAAAAATAGAATTCACCATTCCCCACCCATATTCTCCAAACATAGCTATTTTCCCAGGAATCTCTATCTCTTCTGATTGCAACACCATCTGCCTAATCAAACAAACCAGAAATCTAGAAGGCTCTCTTTTTACCGTCTTCTTGCTCATTTTCTAAAAAAATCAACATGTGGGCCTAATTTATCTACTGTCATCCTTTCATCACTTTACTTAATCTTATTTGCATATATGTAAAATACTGTGGCATGCTACTTAAAATATTGCATAGCCATTATATTGACTTCCCTTTTTACTGTCTTTAAAGACCACAAATCTTACTTTTGTTTTAATGGAAATTTTAGCATTCTAAACCTCAGATTTTGCTAAAACATTTTTTTCCGTGTTACAGCCTTCATCCATTAATCCCTCCCTTGCTCCATTCTTTTCCTTTCACGCTCTAAGCTTTCCTTTGGCCTCCACATATATTGCCTTGTCAATGCATTCCTGCTCCAATTAGTGAGATGCTTTCTCATCCTGTAATCCCTCATCGTCTAGTTAATTAAAAGTCATCTTTCAACATTAAATTTTTCCTGAGAATTAAATTTTTTAATTCCTCAAATCAAAGAATGAATTTCATAGCCCTTAAAGGAAGTATACTATTTTACATTGTTTTTAATTGATACATTCTAAATATATATTTTTATGGCATAAAGTGTGATGCTTTGACACATGTATATTTTATGTAATAATCAAATTAGCATATTTAGCATTCATATCATCTCAAAAATTTATCATTACCTTGTAGTGAGCAAACAAAAATCCTCACTTCTGCCTATTTTGAAATAATCAATGAAATACTATTAACTATAGTTAATGTACTGTGAAATAGAATACCAGTACTTATTCCTCTTTTCTAAGTTGTAACTCTATACCCATTGGGAAAAAAGGAAAAAAACTTTTTAGACTTTGCTTTTTTTCACACTCTCCAGCTTCTAACAATCACTGTACTGTATGTTTTTGTTTGCTTATTTATTTGTTTGGTTTTTTTGAGACAGTCTTTCTTTGTAGCACAGGCTGGCCTTGAATTCACTACGTTGCCCATGTTGGTCTAAACCTTGTAGCAATCCTGCTTCAGCCTCCCCAGTACTGGGAGTACAGGCATGTGCACCATTCTCAGCTCTACTGTACTTCCATAAGATAAGTCCTTTGGGATTCCATATATTAGTAAGAATATCTGATATCCATTCTTCTTTTCCTGGCTTATTTAATTAAACATAATGTACTTCAGATTCATCCATGTTATTGCAAATGACAGGACTGCATTCTTGTTTCAACTAAATAGTATTCTTCATTCATCTGTTGAAGAATATTTTAATTCCATACACTCTACTGTTTATTGTTAATAACGTTTAAATAAAGATAAGGGTATATCTTTGATATAATTTAATTTCCTTTGGATGTATACCTAGTAGTAGAATACCTGGTTACATGAAATTTCTAATTTTTACTTTTTAAAGGAAATTTTATATTGTTTTCCATAATTGTTGTACTAATTTACACTTCCATGAATAGTATATAAAAGCTCTCCTTTCTCCAAATCAATGCCAGCATTTACTTTTTGTCTTTCTGGTGGTATCAATTCTAAATATACTAAGGTGATATCTCATTTTGATTTTGATGTGCCTTTCCCCGATAATTAGTGTGGTTGAGTACTTTTTTATATATTTGCTTTAAATTTGTATGCCTTCTCTTGAAAAATATCTATTTAAATTTATGGTCTTTGCTAAAATTTGGTTTATTTTTGTGTTATTATTTTTTGTTATTGCATTGAGTTCCTTATATATTTCGCATGCTAATCCCTCCCTAGATGCACAGTTTGTAAGTACTGTTTTCCATTTTATAGGTTATTCACCTTTAACCGTTTCTTTTGTAATGCAGAAGATTTATAGTTTGATGTGATTTTACTTCACTATTTTTGCTTTTGCTAATTATGTATTTGGGGTCTTATTCACAAAATAAATGGATTAAAGTTTGTTTTGAATATAAGATTGAAATAGATATATGCACAGTTATACATGGAGATATAGAAATATATATACAGATTTCATGCAAGTTTGACTTGTCATTTAACATGAAGTTTTTATTTTTTATCTTTATGGAAAACAAAACATTTTATAGAAAATTAATATTAATTCAAAAGTAAATATTTATTGACTATTGAGTATTTAAGTATATCTATTGCCTAATTTTAAAAAGTAAAGATTCTTGTTCTTGATAATGGATGAGATGGATGAGATTACCTAAAACCCACAAGCCAGTGACTCCCTAATTTTAGTCCATTTGAAATGTCTAAAAATTGAGATATAATTCTCACAAAAAACCTAAATCTTATAAATTTTAAGGTATACTTTTCAGAAATTCTAAAGTTTTATGTCAGCGCCTCCTTAAAAACTTTAGTAAGTTGTTCAACAAAACTGGCTCAATTCTGAGTGAATATTATAAATAGTTTGGTTGTACTTTTTACTTGAAAATTTCTTCTAAGTGATTCTATCAAAGATTTCATTAATAAGAAAGCATCTAAAACAAGTTTGTAAAGAGAAACTCAATGTGCTTACTGGTACAATTTTGAGTGATGACTAATTTCTGAATTGGTGAAAAAATATTTGTTTCATGTGCTCTGGCATTTCTTCAATTGGTAAAGATATGGCTGGATAACACAGATGTGCCTAAATATTAATAATAGTACTACATATTCAGAGGATATGTGCAGAATTTGATAAATCTTAATTGCAATATGGAATATATACCCATTTGTTTACATATGAAAACCAAATAATAGCTATTCA